GAATGCTGGAGGCAGTTAGGCAAATCATTTATATACAATAGAAATAAAAGGGACCCAAGAATCGTTCCCTGTGGAACACCACAGCGAAGGAACATTTTGGACGATTTATTCCCGTTTACAAGACACGTTTGGGTTCGTAGTCATTCTTAATTTGATACTTATAAGAATTTGTTCTAGCATCTTCGAAATGTTATGAAAAATGCGCTCGAATATTGTTTGTATGCATTACCAGGCTGCCTTGCTTATAACCTGACAGCTAGATCTTGGCCGGAATAACTACTGTACTGAAGGAACTAATCTGAAATAGGGGATCCGAGGATAGTAACTCTACAACTACTGGCCGATAATAGGGAGTTTTAGCAAACCACGATGACGACGGCAACGAGAACGTCACCAAACAAAAGGTTTAATGGGCAGAACAATGGTTCTGCACGTGCGGTTTGATTCTTTGTAAATTTCTTTGCCGTCCTCTGCAAAACAACAACGTGAAATGGCAAAGTTGTACGTATTTTAGAAAACGTGAATCACAATGGCTAATTTTTCGTTTCTTCCTTTGCAATTGAACGCGGTCATTACATATTTAGTCTGAGCAGTTTTTTAGACCGATAGGCGTACTGAACAGATCTACACAGTTGCGACATTTGAGGGTAAAATATGAATACTGTTTCTACAACGTGTCGTCCTTGCCGTCGCCGTTTTCATTGCCAAAACTCCCTAATGACTCAGAGAAGAGTTTATTCAGTAACAGCTCGAACTTGATGACAAATAGAATTACAAGCTTACGAGAGCTGCTACACTCGGGGGTATATTCAACAGACACACAACTGACAACATGCTTTCCTGGGTTCAGTACTATAAGAATACTTCAATCCTACGAAAATAGAACCCCAGTTCACACACCACTTTATCTGCAAATTTAAAAAGTAGCGAAGATTCTTCACCGACCTGTCTGTACTGCAGTGAGTTTAAGAAAGGTGAGTCTCCAGCGAACACAACTGTCTTGCAAGGCATGTGGATGCCAAGTGCCAAGGTTCCTGTTGCTGCTACGACCTAACGAGTCAGGAAAGCCTTGTGAGGTATACCGGAACAGTAACTCTCTTGAGAGAGAGGCTAAGGACAAGAGCGATAAGAACATGTCTCATAGTGAGGCGTTGTAGTCGCTTTTAGTCCTGGGCCTTGATTGTCCTCAGTGTAATGTTCACAGTTATTATATTACTGTATGATGGCGCCTCAAAATTCAAATACTAATGTAGAGAATAAAGTAGTTTCTGGTAGAAGCCATTCAGTATCAATTTGCTAATGGTCCCTTGGTCCCACCGAATTCACATGCAAAATAGGCCCTTCGCTTGACTTTGTCAATCGTAAAACGTGGTCATAATCATGGAACGAATCACAATGGAAAGGATTTGTGCACTGGTTGACGCGCAAAGTTCACCATCCGCAAGCACTTGCAAATGAAGTTAAGACATTCTAAAACATATGCCTTGTGTCAATCACTATCTCCCATATAAATGCTATCTGCACGACCGGATAACTTTCAAATCTACAAGCAATAACGTTGAAAGGGGGGGAAACGGTGCAAATCATTGAAAAATCATTGTTTAAGTTTCAAACGAAGACATTTTAGGGGGATGTTTCAATTCTTTTGCGAGGGTATGTTTCAACTCTTTTGCGAGGGGCTGTAGCCTTGACATCTGGGACCTTTTTTTGTACAAATCTCTGGATTTTTAAACTTTCAAGCCGGGATGATTTATACAGGCAACAATAGTCTNTGTACAAATCTCTAGTCTAGATTTTAAAACTTTCAAGCCGGGATGATTTATACAGGCAACAATAGTCTGAAAAAATTCGTTACGCCCTTTTCATTTCCAGCATTCCTTTCGCACCACAGCCATTTTTCATGATTGATACTGAGATCACGTGATGGGGTTGTTGGATCGGGGAAATATTTTGTGGAAGTCAATTTAAAACAAGTAGCAATCGAGTGTCAAACTGAGCAAACCGTCCAAATACGTCCACTGATGAAATGTTACCTGAAGACATTTCTTCCTAAACAGCATTTCCACGCAGGACCTTTTTCGGTTGCCAAGGCCAGCATGATGGTAGCTAACTCCTCGTTTCAAGGCCCGCCTAAATATGTCTCGGCTTTTAACGAACCATATGCGACCCAGTATCTTATTCATGTCCTACAAAGTAAGCAATAAGTCCATGTTGAGGATTACTCAAGTTAAAACAGATCTTTGCTGCATTGTTTAATCGCATTGATAATTGAGTCTTTGATACACGACTTTAACGTCAGTCAATCACCGAAGAGTCAACAAAGTAGTAAACTTTTGTATGACTATAATTGAGCAATAGAGCAGTTTTTCCGTGTTTACATAGACTCATTTAAACACGAGAAGGGTTGGGAGAATTTGTATTCGAGGGTTTGCACAACTTTCGAGAATTCTCCCAGCCCCCCAAGTGTTTAGATGAAGCTATGTAAACACGGAAAAAGAGCTCTCTTGGTTTTATAAAATAATTTGTTTTTTTTGGTTATGGTCCTGGAGATGTTTTCATCGATCTAATATAAGGCGCGAAGTCTGGAATATATTTAAAAGAGAAGTATAGCTCTGGCCGGAAGTGGCATTCATATGTTTTGAAGGACTTCACTGAAAATATATCTCTGTAAGCAACCCTTAAGATTCCCGAGGGTGCTATGATCAAATGGTTTTAGTTAGAGATCAAAGAGAAAGAAACCAGGTAAAATCTTGGTCTAGAAGTCAAATCACGTGTCTCAAGAGGCAGCTCTTCCTCGAGCACTGGATCAGAGAAGAGGAGAAACACAGTGAGCTGTGAAAACAAGAAAGCGTCCAGCAGTTATTTGTTTATTTATTTGGGTTACCTGTTTTCCAATTCCGTGTGTAAATGCCAA